CTCACACAGGAGAGAAACCCTTTGAATGTCCTGATTGTGGGAAAGGTTTCAGTCAAAGCTCCAGCTTGGTGGTACACCAGAGGACTCACACAGGAGAGAAACACTTCGAATGTTCTGATTGTGGCAAATGTTTCAGTCAGAATTCCAACCTGTTGAAACACCAGAGGATTCACACAGGGGAGAAACATTTTGAATGCGCTGATTGTGGTAAAAATTTCAGTGAGAATTCCAAACTGGTGAAACATCAGAGGACTCACATGAGAGATATGATATGAAAAAGGTTCAATCGGAATTGTGATCTACTGATACACCAGAGGACTGATACTGGAGTGAAGACATGTGAGTGTCCACAGTGTGGGAAAAGTTTCACTTTCTGTTCTGACCTGGTGAAATACCAGAAGATTCACGTAGGAGACAAACCATATGAATGTCCACAGTGTGGGAAATGTTTCAATCAGAATTTCAACCTGGTGAATAACTACAGGAGAGAAATCCTTTGAATGTTCTGGTTAGGGGAAGAGTTTTAATCAGAATTCACACTTGGTGGTACACCAGATGCCTCATACAGGAGGGAAGCCATATGAGTGTCCAGATTGTGGGAAAAGTTTCAGTCGGAATTCCAACCTGGTGAGACAGTAACCTTAAACTGGGGAATGAGACAGGGTTGCCCTTTATCGCCAGTTCTATTTGCATTATTGATGGAGGTTTTGCCAAATGCAATTAGGGATTGAAGGAATTGGAGTACAATACAAACAACTAAACAACTAAAATAAATTTATTTGCAGATGATACATTATTAACATTTCAAAATCCCATAGTTACTATAGAGAAGATATATTTACATCTGAATGAATTTGGGAATATAGTGGATTACAAATAAACTGAGAAAAATCAGAAATGATATTATATAACCATAGTAGAAGAAGTGGAGATATTGAAAGGGAAATATAAATTACAAATAGGAGATAGTATTAAATATTTAGGTATTGACATACGAAAAAATATTCAGGAGTTAAATAAAATAAATTATGAAAAGCTAAAGAAAGATATGAAAGATGAAATAGATAAATACGAGAAAGTAAAGTTATCATGGTTTGGAAGAATTGGAATGATAAAAATGAAAGTATTACCAAAGTATTACCAAAAATTAATTTTTTGTTTTGGATGATCCCAATTAAATTCTAGGATCAAGAATTAAAGCAAATACAAGGCTGCTGGAAGTGTATTGTAATGGAGGTAAGAGAGCAAGAATAAGTAAAGCATTATGGTATGAACCATTAAAAAAGGGTAGGCTATGTATTCCAAATATTAGAAATTATTGGGTAGCTAATCAATTAAAGGTGGTACCAGATATTATAGTAGTAACTAGAGATTTAATATGGAGGGACATAGCATCAAAAGTTAAGGGAAATAGGTGAGCCTATGGCTCTGATGGCAAACCTATGGCACAAGTAGCACATGGAGCCATTTCTGATGGCATGTGAGGCATTGCCCTGTCAGCTCCAGGGCACATGCGCGTGCTGGTCAGCTGATTTTCGGCCTTGTTTTTTTGCCATTTTTCACCCTTTGGAGGCTTTCCTGAACTTGCGGTTTGCGTGTTGGGCCGTTTTTCACCCTCTCCAGGATCCTAGAGAGCCTCTGGAGCTGGGGAGGACAAAAAAACCGACCTACCAGTCCCACTGGAAGTTAGATAATGGGCTGTTTCCAGCCTCCGGAGTTTCTCCAGGAAGGCATGGGAGGGCGTTTTCATCCTTCTCAGGCTCCAAGAAAGTCGTGCACAAATGCGCAGGGTAGCTGGGGGGGGGGTTTACACATACATACGCAGGAGGCATGGCATGGGGGGGCATTAAATTATGCGGATGGCCCCACAAGAGCACGCAATAGCACACAGGCACATGCTTTTGGCACCCGAGGCGAAAAAGGTTCACCATCATGTTCTTATAAAAACATATTGGTTTAAAAAGGATATTAAATAATTGTTAGGATGATACAAAATCCCTTTTTAAAAAACTTGATGGAATTATGGAAAAAATGGAGATACTGGCTAATGCCAGGAATCTCTCCTTTAATACCGCTGGTGATGGAAATGGAGAAATTCCCTAAGATTGAATTGAAAGAATGGATTAGTAAACTAAAAGAAAATCAGATATATAAATGGGAAGACTGGAAGAACAAGATAAAGAACATAACACAATTAAAAACATTTTAGCAGATATTAAATTAAATTGATCGAGTTAACCATTGTTAACAATTCCCTTACA